AAAATAGATATCATTCTAAACGAGGGGGAGAAAAGACAGCGGTGTTGTATGCAGAAAGAGCTATTTTGGGATTATCTAATTGTCATGCTCTATTTAATATTATTTAAGCAGAACGATGAGAAAAATATAAGTGTTGCAGCTGTAAATAAAACACTTGAGCATATTGATGCTTTTAATAAGAAAGATAAAAAAAAATCATAGATGTTTGTTTTAACGAGAATTGTGATTCTGGTAAAGAAGTACATATTTGTGTATAAAAAAATAGAAATATAGCTTAAAAACTACATTAAATAAAAATATGATAAGACGAGATTATTCATAAAGTACAATAAATTATAATATACACCAATGAAATGCATTATCCATATGAAGAGGAAACGCAAAATTCTATTTTCATAAACGACCAATAATAATCATAATATATAAAAGTATAGTATATATGTTATCTTTAATAGTTACACATATCATAATAAAATAGACACTATCCGTTCACATAAATAAGTAATATATTATAAACACACTTTTTAAAAAGACAAAACCCAATTAATAAAATTGTATATATATATCGAATATCACATTAAAAATAAAAAAATAAATTAATAAAAAACACATAAATTAAATATAAAACAAAAAGCCTAAAACCTAAACTCATGAACCCTAAACCCTAATATATGTTTCATATCTGTTTTTGTACATATTACACAACAGATTTATGAAATTTTTAGAAAATCCTTTTGATGATTCATTATATATTCTATGCATTTTAGGAGTTCTGTTGAAATACTTTACATTATTTGTGGTTTGAAAAAAAATTTCCGCGTGCTTAGTAAAAGCAGTATATTGAATTTCTCGATATAGAAAGAGTATAGTATAATTTTGTAGACCAAGAACGTCCCATAAACCTTAACATTTACAGATAGTTCTTTGTTCATTCCTCAAAAAAAAAAAAAAACATTATACATCTTTCAGGAATAGGAATTTCTATGATCAATATATAATATTCCCTGTTTTCTAGATTATTATTTATAAAAATTAGTGGATGACTTAATCATATGTTTAAGTATGATATAATGCTATACAATTTAACATAAAGCTTAATACATTATAAAAGGAATATATTATATATAGTCTATATAGTTTTTATGTATAATTACTACAATAAACATATACACAAACAATTATATATTATACATTTTTTATCATGTAAATTATAATATAATTTATATGATTAGAGTAATCTTATGATAAGTCAATTATTAGTTTTTTCGTTTCTTCCTAATACATTGTTTATAATACCCTTTCTGTATATTAAATAATGCATAAAAATTGTATAAACATATTATATTTTTTGATATTCCATAATATCATAGCCTATATTAATTATAGCGTATAAAAAATGTGGTATTATTTGTATAAAAAAAATATTCATATGATATTTTTAAAAGGTTATATGTTTTTTCATTAAGATAAAATTATAACGGATATATAATAGGAAAGGTATATGTATAATACAAAAAAAAAAAAAAAAATACGAAATAAATTACACTCCTTTTAACGAAGAAAATTAGTTATAATTATAATATTCTCGTGTAATAATAATATGTTTTTGTTACAATTAATGTATTGAAATATAAAACACACGTTAATTAGGGTAAAAAAAAAATATAAATTACATTTGATCATACATTATATGAAAATTATAATTCATATGAAATAATTTATATTATTTAATAATTTATAGATAAAAAAATAATTCATTCAAAATTTAATGTAAAAAATATAAAATAAATCTTACAAAAATCAATATGATGTCTTATGCAAAATATTTATCTATTAATATGCTTATATAGCTCCGTTTCATTGTTACAAGTAGAAATCAAGCGTTATATGCAAGTAAAATTCAGAAAATATATAATGTAATTTATACGTACATAGAGATGATAATTATCACTCAATTGTGACTTTCCATATATTTTTAAAAAATTAAAATATTATGCTAATATTATATTGTAAACTAATGCATTTTTACGACAAAGTGATAAAATATAATTGTGCTTAATCTATTGGACATAAAGCATAATACTTATAAAACATATAAAAAGCATTTTCATTTCCATAATAAACAGATAAAGTATAATATAAATTTTTTTAGACATAAATATATGCTTTTTGAGTAGGTTGCCTTATTTTATTAAATATTTAAAAGTATAAGATAAAAAAAATAACATGCTAGAAATATATATAGAAAAAATATTTAATATATAATTAATTAGGATACTATTCCATTTAATATATTTTATGAATAAGCTATAAAATTAATAACTTTATTATGTATATGAAATATATATGTAAGGATATATATGAGGGAATTTATGAAAATCATTTAAATGGTGTCTCAAATACATACTAATTGTTATGTTGAAAGGAAAAATACATATATGCTACGTATCAATGTATGATATAATTTAAATAAATCAATATTATTAATATTAATTAGAGCACATCAAGACAAGCAAAAAAAGAAAATAATTACTAATAGCATAAACCCTATAAACTAATACTCATAAATGAATGTGAAATAGAATTTTGTAGAAATAATTATTACAAATTAAAGGATATATATATTATATATTCGTATTATACAATAATAATATAAAATATAGAGAACATAAATTATAGTGAGCATATATATTGTTATTTATTAATTAATTTTTAATGTTTTATAATGGATTCATCAGAATATTACATCATTTTATACATATAAAAATAAAGATATATTATATTAATTATATACATGTATCATTCATAATATATATATTATTTTATTTATTATTTGGATTAATAAAATAATAACACTAAATGTTATCTATTTAACCCATTCAAAACATTATTAATATAAACATGTAATATAAGTAGAAAAAATATATAAAAAAATCACAATTTACGTAAGGAGACTATAAAATATATGTAATTCATATAGTGAAAGATCACAACATTTATTTGAATAATATTATCAACATTTTTCTTATAATACTGACGCTACATATGGTAATTACTAAAATATCTACTTATAATATTGCTGGATTTTATATATTTATAAATATGCAAAAGGAACTTCCTATATAATCAGATTTAGTGTGAAATATGTTTGTATATTTATTTAGTTATTTCAAGAATAATTTTTCCTTCTTCTTTATTACATCAAATTTTTCTTATGATGCGATAATTCTTTATATATAATATATTTCTTCTTTTAATAATTTGTATTGAAGAAAAATATTTTAAAAAAAAATTAATTTTTCATAAAATACATGTGTATATCTATTATGATTTTTCGATTAATTGAATATAAAGAAATAAATAAAATCTTATTCATATATTTATGCAATACATGCAAAAACATTAATATAATGTTATAACAAATAAATTACATTACCATCCTATACATATAATTAATGAATTGAACATTTCCTAGAATTTAAACCATATTAAAATATTATTTACATATGTATTGAATAATGATAAAATGACACTATATACAAACGAAAGAATACTTAATTCATGATATAATAGTTTCTGTATTAAATAGTGTAATAAAAACATCCTAAAATACATAGGTTTATAGTCATAAAAATATTCCTATATATTAAAAAATTTATATATTAGTGAAGTAGTTATTATACATATAAGCTATGTGTTATATATATAAATATTCTTTTTTTATTACTAAACATACTAAATTATTCTTAAAAAAAGGTCTTATTCAAATGAGTTATAAATAATATAACTTATGTTATTTTGATTTATTCTTTTATATATATTCTTAATATATATATATTATGTTATGCTTTATTTTTAAGGTATAATTAAAAGAAGTAATTAATAAGTACTATATGAATCTTTATATACTACAAATAGGATGTATTATTAATGTTTATAACATTATGATTTTTATCCATGAAATGGGATATATATTATACGTGCGTTATTTTGTTTTACACTTGACACTATTCATTTCTAATATAGGAATAACAAAATATTAGTTAACATATAATTTATAAAGGAATATAAAAAACATTTAAGCTTAAAATTATAGTAAAAATCCATTATTACATGAATATTCTTCAATTTATGATATAGATAAATTCATAATATTATGAAATATATGATAATTACCATAAACCTATGTTGTTTTTGTTAAATATTTATATTATAAGGTGTAAAAATGAGCCATTTGCTAAAAATATATAAATTTAAAAACATTAATATATAATAAATAATTATAAGTTAGATATTTCTTTTATTTATATGTTTAAATAACCTTATATGTATTATATTTAAATTAACATACATTATACAAAATGTTATACATATTATATATGAATGATATCAAAAAATATATATATAATTATAATATTAACTTACAATGCATTCCATTAATATTAATGGTTATGCTGAATCATTTTCAATGAAGCATAATTATTATTTATTATATTTTATATAATGCTGGTATATTCATATGTTTGATCATAACAAGCATCTATAATTTTTTTTATTATAAAAAAAAAATAAATAAATAAAGCCTACACCCTCAGTTCCATATATTAAAATTAGATAATAATTAACTTAGATTACATAATTGAACATTATATCTGATGTATAAATTATAGGGCTTTATAAAATATTTTAGATATAATATACATATAACTTTGTACAAATTGTTTTTTTATTCTCGCATAATAAATATAAACATAAATAAATTTTGATATTTTTAATGGCGACTTTTTTTTAGTAATTTAATTTCTAACATTAATCATATTATATATTTGCAAAATGGACACTACATATACCAACGTTTGGATACTTTTAAATTTATATTGATTAATTATAACATATTATTATTTGTTTGAATATTACACATTCCATTAATTAAAAAATAAAAAAATGGAGCTATTTTAAATATACAAATGTTCCATTTGTTTTACAATTGATTTTTAATTTTTAATGTTCAGGAATTAGATACAAGTAAATTACCTTCCAAAAGAATTTATAACATATTAAATGAAGAATCTATTGATTTAAGGGATATTCATGCACGTTGTGAATTATGCCTGCCTAATTCACATAATAAAAATGAATATATTAGACTTTGTTCAAAGCTTGTTAAATATTTACAGAAAAAAAATGATATATGGAAAAGGTTAAAAATCAGCGGATATCACTGCAATCTTTTTTCATATTGGTTATATGAAAAATTACTAAGAATGTTAGACAATAACGAACGTAATACTTATGATATTTTAGATAAAATTCAACAAATAGCTTATGATGTTATGAAATATAAAGGTGGTAATTTATTTATTAAATGTGATCTTGATCGTAATTTTAAAACAAAAGAAGTATGGGAATGGAAAAAAACATTTTATGATTATTGCCTGGACTTTGATACTATAAAAAATATGCATGAACCTGATGAAGTCAATTGTAATAAAATTAATAATTACATTAAAGAAAAAAAAAAAGTATTTAATTATTTTAAAAATATTTGCCAAAATAAAAATCTTGGCTCACATGAATGTCCAGATGTTTATTCAAATTGTAAACATTGTGATCCTGAGGAATTGATAAATCATTTTAAATGCCATTCACAAGAGGATCAGCAAATGATCACTATAGATCCCACATTTCAGGAAGAAGAACAAGAACAAGAACAACAAGATGAACAGGAACAAAGTTTAAAACCAAATCTAGTAGAATCGCCTAGAGGAGAACCAAGACATTCTGAAATATTAACTCCTTATACACATGGAATATCACGTGCAACGTACGACAATTACAGCTCAGCAAAAACGTTTGGTAAATCACTTTTGGGAGTAGTAATGATTTCTATGATTTTTGGTATTATATATAATGTACATGCAAATAGAATTAATAAATATTAATAATATAAATTAGTTAGAAATTTATATTAATTATACGAAAAATAAAATAATCAATTAATATAATAAATATATTTTATATTATTCCCTAATATCCAAGTTTACATCAATAGGAAAGAGACTACATCATACCATTGGAAAGTTAAAAAATTCTATAATTAATAAAAATGGAGATAATAATACTTCTTTTCCTTATAACTCAGAATATGACTATCCTTTAAATGAGTATCGAGAAGAGCATTTTGTGGGATATAACACATACTGATGTTTTCAATTCATATTATTAATTAAATAGCATTGATATGGCACAAAGTGCAGAAGTTTTTAAATGAGTCATATTTCTTTTCATTTAAAAACAAATTATAAAGGAAATAATATAATATCATCTGTTGTTAAAAATATTGCATGAATACTTATAATGATTATATAAAATGTAATATATAAATAAATAAATATAAAAATGAATAAATAAATTATATATATATAAAATATATTTTTAATATATTTCATTAAATCGTTAGCTTCTGATTAATCGTATTATATCATATATATTAGACTATTTTGGAATTCAATAAAATATTATTTGTTCTTCATAATTATTGCACAAGCTAATTTTTACAATTGTACAATATTATTACATTATATAATTTACTATAAAATATAATAATAGCATAATTTCATAAAAAATTATTAATAAGATTAAAGTGAGCTAAATAAACCCACGTATATTTTAAAATGTATGTATAATTAAAAAAAAAAGAACTTTTAAACGACACATACTTAATGCGACATTCTATTGAATAAATAATTTGTGTGTAAATAATGAAATCAAATTACCTAGAATTATAGAATTCTATTTCCTCTTATATTTTATAGAAAGCAGTTTAAAGTATAATATTAGTGGTATTGGTATTTCTTGTATATATATATTCTGAAAATAACATAATTACATGAACTGAAAAATCAAAGTTTCAAAAATTTACTTTACGCATAATATCTAAAATATAAAATGATAATAAAGAAATAATATATATTAGCATGCATTAATTACTTTCTTTATTTTTTTATAAACATATGCATGATGCATTATTCTCTAATCATATCTGGTGTATGCATTTGAATTTTGAAGAAAACATTAAAAATGCTGGTACATTCCCTTTATTATAAGTACAAGGTTTTCTATAATATTTCATTTAAGTATTCTTTTTTTATATAAGTAACCAATAACAAATGAAACATAATATTCATTTACATATATATAAATTTTTATGTTTGCTTTTTTTATAGTTAATTTTATTAGAATATTTATTATTCATATGTAAGCATAAGAATATATAAAAAAAAAATTTCATTTAGTAGTAGCAGAAAAATTCATTAAAATTACTTATATAGGAAACCTAAACCAGGAGAAAGAGATATTGAAGTGAGATTAAACTTTATCTAGCAATAATATTTCCTTTAAACAATGGTTATACATGTGCACTGAAGTCATTTAAAATACATATTTTGATATTACAATACAAAATATTTATTAATTAAAACTAATAAATGATATATCATTCTGTTATCTTATTAATGTTACTTGCAATATGTTATTCAATATATATAAATTTTTTAATCTTTTAGAATATTTTATGATCTTAAAAATACATGTACACACTTTCAAAATAGTATGTAATGTTGTCGAGAAAGTATTTATTATATTATTAATATAATGCATGTGAATAAAAGTAAAAATATTTGTGATTACGTTATTAAATATAGTATATCTAGAAGAAATTACATGATGCATTATTCCATAGTCTTCTAGAACGCGATGTTTTTATATTTCATAATAAATCTACCATTAATTATAGAAATAGTTCAGACAAGAAATAATATAAATTCGTATAAATTACAAAGCTTGAAGAACATATGTAAAATAAAATGGGGTTATAATGTATTATATAACAAGTATAAGATGTACAGATATTTAGAGTAAAAGAATCATTTAATTTAATTAATCTGAACACATGTTCACCTTGCTTCTTTGATTTCTCCTGTTTCGTTTCTTGGAGTTATATAATTTGTGCATTATTTCTTAGTATAAAATAAAACTGAAAAAATAAATCCTTTCATCAAAAGTAATTTTCTTATTTTATGTTATTGTCAAATATATGAAACAGTGTTTTTTTTATTTGTAAATTATTATTTAATTTATATATATATACACTTTACATTTTTACGATATTTATTAACGTATTTATTATAAATTAGCGCTAATAAACATTATATTTATGAAAAACTATACAACTTGAGACCCATAATTTATCGTGTATATGTATATACATACATATATATCTAAATATATATGTAATATAGTTTTGTCTTCTATGGATCAGTACTATATAAAATATGAAAAGAAGTGAAAAGATATAGAAAATTATAAGAATATATACATAAAAAAATAAAGTTCTTCCTGGATTAAATTATTTATAATAATTTATTTAAAAATATATTTTAGTTCTAATACATTAGGAGCATAAATGTATAATAATATTTTTTGTAAGCATTTCGAAAAATTATGTAGTATCGAAATATATGAATAAAATATCTAACATTGATATATTAAATACTATTACGCAGGGTTCAGAGTTTAGGGTTTCCCAATTTATATATATCATTAATATTTTATATTTACTTTTAGGTTTTGGTTTATATTTTTTAGATTTTTTTTTTTTTTTTGGATGTAGTGTTGGAATTATAATATTTGTTTTATATATTTGGATTACTCTAAATAATATATATATGTTTTTATTATATTGGTATGTATACCGACATGTATCTTTTAGATTTATGAATTTTTATATATTTTATATTATATTTGTCAACTAAAGGGAGAATAATATTAATAATAATTTATTTTATAGGACTAGAAAATATCCATTCCTATATATATCATGTTGTATTAGTTTT